TTTCAATTGGACGTAGTTGCACTTCTTTATCAAGATGAATTATGTCATGAAAACAAATACGTGCATAGAGAAGTTCCGATCTTTCAACACTGGCTTCATTTTGCAACCTTTATAAAAGCAAATCTGAAGGAATTTCCATCAGGAAACTTTGATGGGATGATATTAGAAGAATAAAGAATGTATACGTGCTAGAAAAAATGTATCTAAAAGGTTGCAGCATTTTGAGAAAACCATAAACATTCTTCAGTTCCTTTGAAACTTTCTCTGAAAAAGACCTGGAGCAAAAGCATTCTCAGAATTCTGCTTCCCAAACCTAAGTGGGCATGGCAGCCCTTTCCCTACCAGCTCATCCTTTACCAACAGTGACGCCAGATCAGGATCCCAGCGGTCTCATCCTCAGTTGCTCTTCAGTGGTGATCCTCAGAAATTAGTGCAGTGCCATTAACATTAGATGAGAACAAAGTAGCCGTAAACCAGACTCTGAGCCAGCAGCTGCAAGGACCCCCAGGGCTTTTCAGCAGCTCTTCTGCTAACATTGCTGCGCTCTGTCTCTGCAGAGTAATTCTTTATAAAGACAGTTCTGAGGATGAACCGGCCAGTGTTAGTCTGGATCGATTTATATTTCCTCCCAAGGAACTAGTAGCTGTAATATAAATTCCAGCTGAATAAAACATGAAAAAATAATCTTTAAAAACTGGGCCACTGAAGCGTAGAAGCCTCTTTTCTTTCTGAATTATGCTGACAAAGGAATCGAGAACCCTGTGCTGGCTGCCTGCATGCCCACACGTGGTCTTGCTGTGTGACAAAGTCTGTGTGCCCCTTCAGGGCTGTATGCGTTCCCTGCTTGGCTCCATGATGCCCAAGGCTCAGCTTTGCAGTGCTCATCATTCACCTCCACAGTGCCATGGCACAGCTCCACAATGCCCAGAGCCCAGCACTGCAGTGCCCATCACCTCTGCAGCACCCACTGCCCACCTCTGCAGCACCCATTGCCCACCTCTGCAGCACCCACTGCCCACCTCTGCAGCACCCACTGCCCACCTCTGCAGCACCCACTGCCCACCTCTGCAGCACCCATTGCCCACCTCTGCAGCACCCATTGCCCACCTCTGCAGCACCCACTGCCCACCTCTGCAGCACCCACTGCCCACCTCTGCAGCACCCACTGCCCACCTCTGCAGCACCCATTGCCCACCTCTGCAGCACCCACTGCCCACCTCTGCAGCACCCATTGCCCACCTCTGCAGCACCCACTGCCCACCTCTGCAGCACCCATTGCCCACCTCTGCAGCACCCACTGCCCACCTCTGCAGCACCCACTGCCCACTTCTGCAGCACCCACTGCCCACCTCTGCAGCACCCACTGCCCACCTCTGCAGCACCCACTGCCCACTTCTGCAGCACCCACTGCCCACCTCTGCAGCACCCATTGCCCACCTCTGCAGTACCCACTGCCCACCTCTGCAGCACCCACTGCCCACTTCTGCAGCACCCACTGCCCACCTCTGCAGCACCCACTGCCCACCTCTGCAGCACCCACTGCCCACCTCTGCAGCACCCACTGCCCACCTCTGCAGCACTCACTGCCCACCTCTGCAGCACCCATTGCCACATGAGCTGAGCACTGTAGGGGATGTAGCCAGGGATTTTCTGATCACTTGGACCCATTGGCAGATCCCCTTTGCAGACGATGCACCGTCATTCCTGACACACAGTAGATGAGGAAGGGCTCCAAAGGATCTCCTGCTGACGGTGCCACCAACAGCACTGGCAGATGTTAATATGTGCAAGTATCCCATGTGCAGTCTGATAACTTTATTTCATCTTCATGCAGAGTTCACAAACACAGAAAATGATATGGATTGATACTGGCAAGAGCACTGCACATCTGATATTTCTCATCTGGTGCTGTATGGAGCTGCAACAGAAGAACATTAATGCAGGAGTCTCCATGACCAACCACTGGAATGTGCATCCATTAGAAACAAATCCAAACGAAAAATAGAAAAAACCAACAAGAATGGCAGTGCCCTGGGATTCTGGTGCAGGCTGCAGCAATTTAGGACCCCTCCAGAGAGAGGTCTCCCTGTCTCAGAGGTTATTAAATCGACACCCTGCTGCTGAGTCATATAGGAAATGCCCCAAGCAGAACTAAGTCTCAGACTGAAAAACAAGCAAAGAGAGCCAAAGGAATGATTTAAGCCCAGTTTAGCTCAGCAATCTATGTATCCTGTAATGACTACCAGCAGACACTCGAAGAATTAGACTGGCAGGTACAGCCCTTGGAGGTCAGGGGAAGGGAAGGAGGAAGGGAAGAGCAGTCCTTGTCCTGTGCCCCAGCTGTGCCAAGAGCAGCTGCTCCACGAGCAGCCAGCTGCTCTGCAGAGCCCTCTGAACACCACCACTGGGACACACAGCGCACAGCAATCCCAAATCTGCCAAGGGAGCATATTGCTCAGTAAAACCTGAAGGCAGGCACCACGCAGTGTACACAAGGATGCTGAAGCAAAGGCAACAGCACTGAAATAAATGGCAGTCTCAATTGCTCTACTTTATTAGTTGCTGACAAGTGAACATAAATCCTTATCTGCAAAAATCGGTTATGTGCATTTGGACAACTGAATAAGGAGGACTGAAATATTGTTCTATTTACTTTCAAGGCACAGAACCAAGACACTCTTTGTTACCTCATAAAATGCAGCATAGTGAAGTTAATACCTTTTTGCCAGCAGCTTTTTGCTCTCTCTTGCCAGAGACAGCCTCCGATTTTGAGACTGCATCATCAATCCAGAAGCTGTAAGGGCCCAAGTTTTTATGTATGCACTTCCTCGATCCAAGGCTGAAATAAATGCATATTATCTATTACATGTTCTGGGCTGCCTGGCAGCTGGGGCTCCTACCAGCATGGTGAGGTGCAGAGGTCACTCTGAGCCACCCAGCTTCATAGAATCACACAACAGCCCGGGTTGGAAGGGACCTCAAGGATCACGAAGCTCCAACCCCCCCACTGCATGCGAGGCCACCAACCTCCACATTTCACAGCAGCCCAGGCTGCCCAGGGCCCCATCCAACCTGACCCTGAACACCTCCAGGGATGGAGCATCAGGAACAGGGACTTTGTCTGTCTCTCCTTTTGCTCCCAATGATCCCAGTGCAGGGCTGGCAGCTGGAGGATGCTCACAGCACCCAGGGGCTCCTGGGGCACTGAGGTGGAGAAGGCTCCATCCCTGGGGTGTGTATGGGATGAGCCCCAGACACACAGTGCTGTCACAGCAGCCCTGGCACTCCCAGGCCAGCAGCAGTGGGTGGCACATGTCACAGTGCCGTGTGCTGTGCGCTGGGTCGCTGCCTACCTTCATTTTCCCACCCAGTAACTTATTTCTGGGAAGCCCTGGGGCCGGATCCAGACTGCAAATTGAGCAGTCAGATCACATAAAATTGTCCTTTTCTCTTCACCAGGGAGCCAATAATGAGGAGCACTCGTGTAACCCATAATCAATGATTTATTCAGCTTAAGTGATTTATTTTATTTGATTCTTTAATAGCCATAAGCAAAACTTTTTGTCTTCAGAGGTATTCAGCTCAACGTGGCTGTTTTTTCACATAAGTAATCCAGGAGTGTTCCTTGCTCACAGCAGACAGAGCAAGTCAGGTCACACCGGCTTCGTTCCACAGCGGGGCAAGCAATCACAGATGCCAAAGTCTGTTTGGAGAGCAATTCATGCAAGGTGATGTTCACACAAATCTTCTTGGAATGCAAACATGAAACAGTGGGAACTCGATAAATTAAAGTATTTATGAAGTTCCAACTCAGAAATGAAAATGGCTACATGTTCTTGCGTTAGGGCAAGCAGGGAAGCTGTGTCTCTTTGCCTTTGCACTCCAAGCACATTCATCCTCCCCTTCTTCAGGGAAGTTAGGATTGCGTACTGAATTCTCTTCTACTGTACTCCCAGTTTTCTGTTTCCATTTTTCTCCCACCAGTCACCATTTGTCACCCTCTCTCAGTACTGCACACATCAACTCGTGTAATTACAAAAGCAGGGGTTTCACCGAGAGGTCATTGAAAATGGCTCTTTTTTCAGTTTGGCAGAGACGCTGTGCACACATTTCACAGTTTTAAGCCTTAAGAAGAATGGAGGCTCTGCTGCAAGACCCAGCCATCTCATCCAGGCACAGCAGTTTCCATAATTCTTACTCTGATACCTTGTAAATCTTCACTCATTGGTTTCCATTGATTCTCGTAGGCATGAGCACAGCCAGTACTTCCCAGACCTCCAAATTGCTATCTCATTAGCAGCTCAGCATGCCATATCTTGTGCATAATAAATGAAGCAGTGTGTCTGTGTGTCACGCTTCCCTTCCATAGGCACTTTAAAAGCACAGTTATTTTTCTGATTTCTTTTCTCCATTATTGTCTTTTCCCTCTTGCCACAGTTGCCAAGTGATTAAAGGATGTTCACATATTCCATTTTTCCCTGTTCCAACACTTCCAGCAGTGTCAGATCTTCAAGCACACCTGACACAAAATGAGAGACCACGGAAAGTGGCAAACACAGCCTAGAAGAAAAAGAAATAAAGAATTTCCTTCATTAAAATAATCCTCTTGAGATGAAATCCAGGACCACAGGAGTAATTTGTTGGTTTTCAAACCCCTTGAGGCAGTTACATGGTGATACCATAGGCAGTGACCCACACAGCCCCCTCCCAGCTGCCTGCAGTGCCCCATGCCCATAGGGTAGGACAACTCTTTGGAAGAGAGAATGAGCAGGGGAGCCAACTCTTGGAAAGGGTGGAGAACAGCAGGACAAGGGGAAATGGTTTGGAGTTGAGGGAGGGCAGATGGAGGTTGGATGTCAGGGGGAAGTTGTGTGCTGTGAGAGTGGTGAGGTGCTGGAACAGCTGCCCAGAGAGGCTGTGATGCCCCGTCCATCCCTGGAGGTGTTGAAGGCCAGGTTGGATGGGGCCCTGGGCAGCCTGGGCTGCTGTGAAATGGGGAGGTTGGTGGCCCTGCATGGCACAGGGGGGTTGGAGCTTCGTGATCCTTGAGGTCCCTTCCAACCCAGGCCGTTCTGTGATTTATGATTCACAAGGAAGGGGCCCAGGATTTCCCCCCTGCTGCCACAAGTTTCCCCCCCTGCTGGCAGCCCCTCAGCAGGAACTTTGGTTTTTTCCTTCACCAATCATTCTGGTTTAGCTCTGACCTTTCCTAAACAACCCTACAAAGCTGGGCTTAACTGTGCTACCAGAAACTGTGTGTGTGGAGGGGGGGATTATTGGAGAGGTGGCTCTGGTAGAGCTGAGTAACGTGCGCAGGGTGGACTCAGTTCCAGCCTCCATGGGCTGTGCCTGCCTGACCTTGTGCTGTGTTTTTTGTAGCTCATTTTAGTTTATGCTGCACAGGATACAAGGTGACCACAGAGCAGACTAGATAAAAAAAGATTATTTTGGTGTTTCATAACCCATTACTCACTCGTACTTTCTCGTAGCTTAATTTTTTTCAGCAAGTAAGAGTGTCAGGAAGGATATTAAGAGAAAGAGTAATGCATCTCAGCATCAGGTTCTGTAGGCACCGCACCAGGGGAGGAAGAAGCTGGAGACCCATGTAAGATGCTTGTCCTGTATGAATGGGCTCAGTGGGCAGCTACAGCCTTACTGCACACAGGGGACGAAGCCATCAGTGTCAAAGCATAAGACAGTAAAATCCTGGATGAGGTGGATAGATGAGAAAAGCTAGTGGCTAAATTCAGCTGCCTGACTGTAAGGCATTCAGTCCTGTTCTGGATGCCCTACAAAACATCCCATCTCCCTGCTGTAGCTTCAGAGCTCAGATGGATGTTCTACAGGACGTGCCAGCCCCAGGAGTGCCTTATTCCACACTTAGCATGTGTGGACACCTAATTTTAGCAAGTGAGATGAAGACCCAGAGAGTTCAGGGGGGAGAGAAAAACGAGGGACCAGCAGTTCTTCTGGAGGAGGGAAGGCCATTGCCCTGCAGGCATTGAGTCCTGGCAGCAAACTATGCTACAGCTCCCACATTCCTCCCCTGGTACCTCAGGAAAACACAAAACTCTTTATTAAATTTGAAAAATCACAGGTGCTACTGGGAAAGAATATTTAATACATTAATATCCAGCTAATCGGATGGAACACACTGCAAATGGGAGCAACAGCACACTGCAGAGCCCCACGGAGCACACCTCTGCATATCCATCCCTGCAGCCAGGGTGCAATCTCACAAACTCTGGCACCAAAACCTCACTGTGAAAGTGTGGGAAAAATCCTAAATATGTGGAAAACAGAAAGGTTACATCCTCAGCAGAATAGGAACTGAGCCTCGGTAATGGATTGGCTCCCAAGCTCTAATGGAAAGCTAATTTTCTTTATGCAATTAGAAGTGTCATATTCAGTAACACTTTCCGATCCTTTCTAAAAAAGAGAATCAACAATAATTTGTTGTAATATAGCCCCATTGATTCTTATTTGGAACTATAGATCAGGTAATTAGACTTAATAAAAAGCAGAGAAGAGAGAAGGATGTAAAATTCCTAAACCTATAGAGAGGTCATCATCTGTTGCAACGCATGCATTGATTCGCATTATTGCCTGAAACATCGAGTTCTTAAGAGTAACAGTGACAGTGCTCTGTGCTCTCAGCTCTGGGTGGAAGAGGTCACACAGGGCAGGTCATGGTGAGCCACCAGCAAAGGTGAGCAGATATCCAAGGGAAGGCAGCTGGGGGGATGACAGGCCTTCCAGATGTGCTCTGCTGAGGGGAGGAAGGCAGCAGCCCATGGAGAGGAGAGGAGAGGAGAGGAGAGGAGAGGAGAGGAGAGGAGAGGAGAGGAGAGGAGAGGAGAGGAGAGGAGAGGAGAGGAGAGGAGAGGAGAGGAGAGGAGAGGAGAGGAGAGGAGAGGAGAGGAGAGGAGAGGAGAGGAGAGGAGAGGAGAGGAGAGGAGAGGAGAGGAGAGGAGAAGCAGCCTCTGTCTCTTCTGCAGCACTCCCCTCCTGCAATGGAAAGCAGCACCCAAACACTGTCCAGGGCCTCCCCTGAGCACTCCATGGGGTGGCAGAGGGGCTCCAGGTGCCCCCAGGACAACCTTCAGGTCTCCCCGCTGCCCATCCCAGGGTAGCAGCTGGCACTGCAGGGCACCCCTCTGCTGCCACTCATCAAGCATTCCCAAGGGCACAGAAATGGGGGAAATTTCTCCTTGCATCTCAGAGGATATCAAGGGGACACAGCAGGGTCAGACTCTGAATCCACAGCTGGAGCCTCTGCCCCAGTGATAGAAACACGAGAGATCAGGGAAAGCAGCAAGCAGGGAACGTGCCCAAACAGCATCTCAGAGCTGGTGAGCACTGCTGAGACCCGACCTCCTGTGCACGGGCTCCTGCTGCCCTGCAGGGCACACACAAAGGGGGAAGTGTTTCTCTAAAGCAAGGCACTTTCTAGAGGGCTCTTAGCAAAGCTGCCAGTGTTGCATAAAAGCAGAGCATTACAAAGGCGTAGATCCCACCACACAAACTTAGATTAAGAAATGAGTTGTGTTAGACCACGCTTTCCTTCACAATTTTTTTTTCTCTGAGAAATACACAGGGTTCTCTGCACAAATCCTATTATTTGTTCACAGGATTTTGAATGTAGCATGCATATGCTGCTTTAAAATTTGTCTCGTTTCTGTGATACATGCATTGCAGAGCCTGTAGCTCCTTACTCCCACTTCTTCATTTTATAACTTATTTCTTCCAAGTGACCTGCAAAGAAAAAGGCTTTAATTCAAGAGTTTTTCATATCCTGGCTCTTATGCTCAAGTACCAAACAACCTCACTCCAATTGGCTGATCCACAGCCGTGCTCTGATGGAACAGAAATGATTGAGTCAAAGAGGAGTACAAATCTCCTCTGCTGAGATTGCTTTCAAGAGGAAAACAGGGTGTGGGAGTGGGGAGGTGGGCCGATGTGGTGGCACATGCAGGAGCCAGGCACGTCCTGCTAAGGTGGGGTTCCCTGAGAACCACGAGCTGCTGCTCTGGGTGCTTGTGCTCGGGAGCTTAAGTGCACAAAATCTTGCCTCAGGGAAATATTCTCCTAACGCTTCTGGCAGCAGAGTATTTTCAGCCCTGGAGCATTACAGGCATCTTTGTCTGCTTCATGCGCCCGGTGCAACGGTACAGAAAATATTTGGAGCAGATGTCTCCCTGTAGAAGCCCACCTGGCTATTCCTAAACAGCCTTTACACATGCGATTAGGCTACAGTGGCACTTCTTTCCCAGTAAGAATCTAACTACCCTTCAGCCCACACTTAACAGCTCAGGAACACGGCCCCTCAAAGCCAGCCCTACGTAGGAGCTGTAGACTGGTAGGGCACTGCAGCCATGAACCAGGCTGTCACCATGCCCCATATCTGCGACCATGAACCTCACCTGTCACCGTGCGCTGTGACGGTCACCATGCACCACGGCAGGGATGGAGGGCTGTGCCTGTCACCATACCCCATGTCTGTCACCATACCCCATGTCTGTCACCATACCCCCATGTCTGTCACCATACCCCATGTCTGTCACCATGCCCCACGTCTGTCACCATGCCCCACGTCTGTCACCATACCCCCATGTCTGTCACCATACCCCACGTCTGTCACCATACCCCATGTCTGTCACCATGCCCCACGTCTGTCACCATACCCCCATCTGTCACCATACCCCACGTCTGTCACCATACCCCACGTCTGTCACCATACCCCCATGTCTGTCACCATACCCCACGTCTGTCACCATACCCCACGTCTGTCACCATGCCCCCATGTCTGTCACCATACCCCATGTCTGTCACCATGCCCCACGTCTGTCACCATACCCCACATCTGTCACCATACCCCATGTCTGTCACCATGCCCCCATGTCTGTCACCATACCCCATGTCTGTCACCATGCCCCACGTCTGTCACCATGCCCCACGTCTGTCACCATACCCCCATGTCTGTCACCATGCACTACACCTTTCACCACATATAATGTCTGTGACCACACATGAGCCAGCTCTGCCCATCTGCACTGCTCAGACCTCAGAGCAGAGCTCAGAGAGCTCCTGTATGGCTCAGCTTCCCAATGCCCTGCTGGAGCCAGAGGAGAACAGGCTGCATCTCTGATATGGGCATGGGGCTTGGCTTTGGCAGTGGCCGCTCACGTGTGACATTCCACATGCACTTGGAAACAGAAAGGACAAGAAAGCCAGAAGTGAACAGAAAGGTACATCGATACGTGTGATTTCCTCACATAAGCTCACAGGGGATTCCTCTCGAAACGTTCCCTCTTCTTTGCATGCAAACTTAGTCTGTGTTCATTGAGCACAAAACATCATAAAATCTTTTAAGCAGTTTAAACAGTCAGTGCTAGACGTCACATTGGGAACCCAGGATGTGTGAAACTGGCTTGAAATTGGACAAAAAAAATTAATCCACAAAAATAAAAAAAACAGTTTCTATTCCCCTGGGGTCTGCCATCATGTTTTCAGAGCCTGGAACTTTTATGCATTTATAATGTAGAGTGTTATAAATATTCATACAGAGACTCATAGGCTAAAATTAAATGAGCTCATCACAGTTATTTTTAGTGTAATGGATGTAGGCAATAAGAAAATCCCAGGAAAATGAATAGATGCAATTGGGGTAATAGCAGTACCTATTTTCCCCATTTTGAGGACTGGTGTGAAACAGAGGTGAAAAATACGTAGATAAACACCAAACAGGGAGGCAGCAGCAGCCGGGGGTCACAGCCCCATGTGGAGCCAATTCAGGGCTGGATGTGGCACATCCCCCAGGTGGGAGCATTCTGCAGGGACATGGATGGGGCCGGGACTGCTGGGAAGAAAGAAGTTCCAACTGATGAAACCAGCTGGTGTGCATTGGCACAGGAGTGAAGGAAATCCTCATAAATGCCTGCAAACGCCTTGTTGGAGCTGGGAAAGGTTTGAGCTGTGCCTGGTGGAGGGCTCAGCAGCCACCTCTGTTTTTTTTCCTTGTAAAGCTGGAGCACAGCTCCCAGCAGGCTGCTGCCTTCCACAGGTGGCTGAGGA